GAAAGCCTGAACCTCTGTCAAAGACACTACTATTTATTAGGCATAACAGGGACTGTGCAGACTCATGACAGTAGTTCATAACCAAAGATGTGCCAGATTTTGCTGGAACAAATCCCAGAATCCCAAGCTACTTTGGGTTTCTGGGAGCTCTCAGCTGGCAAAACTTTGCAGTATACTTACTTTTATGATTCTGTGGATACATTTCAGATGTCACAGCATTATAATATTGTAGCAAAAGATTAGGCAGGCAGCCCTCTAACTTCCTTCTTTTCTTTTTTCTTTCTGAGGGGGATCTTGCAGTTTTTGACAACAGTACCACAGGTAGAAGTTCAATTAGTGAAACCGTATTCAATCCTTGGCATCTCCAGGCATGTCTGGCAGAGCCCCAGTTTGAAATCATGGATAGACACTGTTCCTAATTAGTATGGACAGTGCTGGGTAGAAAGATCAATGGTCTGATTAGGTATAGGGTAGGAATGGTTGAGACTTTCAGTTCAATTAAAAAGGTGACTTATAGAATGAAGTGTTGAGCTCATTTGGAGAGGCCCTTCTCTCTGTCCCACCATCCTCTCAGGTGCATTTGGTGGGAACAAGAAAGAGGTGGCTGCTCCCAGGATCTGGAACTCTGTCCCCAGAGAGTCCAGGCTGGCTCCATCTCTATTTTCATTTTGGTGGCAAATAAAAACATTTTTATGTTGCCAGACTTTCTCATGCTGATATGGGTACTGTAAGAGTTTTTAAAGAGTTTTTAAATTTTAAATTTGAACAGGTAATGTTTGTAACTTTTTTAAAATTGTTTTTTAAACTTTGTATTTTTATTGTTTTGTACTGTTTTTAACTTGGACTATTTTATATTTTGTTAGCCTCCTTGAGTTCCTGTACCAGGAAGAAGACGGGATATAAATAAATAAAATAATAATAAATAAAAAGTCATTTAAACTTGCAAATTCTTTCATATTTGGGCTGGAAAGAATGTGAGGTTTTAAAAATTCATATATAGGAGAAAGTGAAATTGAGACATTATTTCATCCATCCAAAGAGGTAAGCTTTGGATGCTTAACTCTTTAGAATGAGAGGACTGAGTCCTATTGTTTATATGAAATAAAAAACAAAGAAATCAGAGGATTGCTAACAGTGTTGACATACTTTTCATCAACTGATTCAGAGGATATATTCTAACTGGAAGGCTTATCAATTCAGGCCATGATTCAAATGCTTGTGTATTCAAACATGGTAGTTTTGAATTAGTATTGCAGCTGATTACCCCACACCCCCACCACCACCCAAGTTCCTCATCTTTGAAATTGGTATAATGCGCAACTGCAGCATGGTCCTCTTTCTGCTATAAATATTAATACTGATCTGTCCAAATGGGAGAGAATTGCAATTCAATTTACTTTTGAAGAATTTACAAAAATTATTTTCAAATTTATAAAAATTGAACAAAAATATCTGTGACCAAAATAATTTGACATTTAAGAACTGGAATGTGAATAAAGGAGAAACATATCTATTTCCCTCTCACCAGCATAACTCAGACAGCCAGTGTGGAGTAGTGGTTTGAGCACTGCATTACAACTCTGGAGACCAGGGTTCAGACCCCTGCTTGGCCATGAAAACCTACCAGATGACCTTGGGCAAATCACACTTTCTCAGCCTCAGAGCAAGGTAAAGGCAAACCACCTCTGAATAAATCTTGCAAAAACAAAATCAAAACCAACTTATGATAGGATTGCCTTAGAATTGCCATAAGTCAGAAATTACTTCAAAGTACACAACAACAAGTATAACTCAACTGTCTATGGCTTCATATCTCTTGTATTTTGTCAGGGAGGATGATAGATAAAGATGTGAGAGACAGGGCTAGAACTCATGGTGCAAAAAGTTTTTGGAGACATATCAGGATCACTTCTTTTGGTGCACAGCATTTCTCCACACATCTCTGTCCCCTCAACTGCCTTTTGAGAGAAGGGAAAGTTATTTTAGAAAAGGAAGGGAATGGCTCTCCTTTGGTGGCTGAACTCAGCTCTTTGATGTGGATTCTCCTTTGATTCTGGCTGCAAATGTCAGGGGACCAGCAACTGTTTGCCATTCATTATGGATCTCAATGGTGCCAATGATGTGTCAGGAAAAGACTGTAAGTCCTTCCTCCACATCAAGAATATTTACTCTCTCACAAGCCATAGTGGGAAACAAATGAGAAACAGAGATGAACTCTATTTCACAGAGAGTCTAAACCTATAGGGACTTTATCACACCAATAATAAAACCAGCTTACCTGAGCTGGCTTAAAATTTAAAATGGGCAGCACCCTGATGTTATCAAAAGGATTTAGTCACTGAATCCACCACCCAGGTCCATCCTGGGTCCATCCCTGCTCCCAGGGCTGCTCCAGCGGCCATTTCCTTAAGCCAGAAAACTCCTGGCTTCAAAAAGAGGGGATGGACCCAGGTGGCGATTTTGGTGGCTAAATCCTTCTGATAACTTCAGGATGCTGCCCACTTTAAATTTTAAGCCAGTTCAGGTAAGCCAGTTTTATTATTGATGAGATAAGCTCCCTAATCACTGGCATACATACAGATAGCAGAGCTGCAAACTTAATATTAGCTGTAGGTCTTATTTGACATCTACAAAGATTTACATTACAGGTCACTACTGAACAGCAAAACCACCTACCTGGCTCTGTTTCAGTCCATGCCTACTGTCCTGAATAAACAAGGGATAAAATGCAATGCTTGGGAGTTTATGAAGTTTGGCCAGATCAGTTGAATATCAGATCAATTTAAGCTCCTGCAGCTGTTTGTTTTTGCAAATAAAGGCCTTTGCAGACTGCCAGAAATAGTGCACATTAAATCGAGGCACTGCCCTGGCTCAGTGCTAGGGAATCATGGGAACTGTAATTTATTGTGGCATCAGAGCTCTCTGACAGAGAAGGCTCAATGTCTCAGAAAAAAAATACAATTCCCATGATTCCCTAGCACTAAGCCAGGGCAGTGCCTCAATTTAATGTGCACTATTTCTGGCAGTCTTCAAAGGCCCTAACTCTGGGGTTCAGTAGGGAACAGCTCTCAAAAAGGAGAAAAACTACTGCAAGGAAAAGCAATGCTAGTCTGATTAGTTACTTTAAGTGTGTGCATGAATGCCTTATCTTGCCCATCTTGGCACTATAATTCTGTGAGGGTGGGATTGCATGCTCCTGTGAACCAAAAATCTATTCTGATGATAGCATTGTCGCTGGTAGGATCTCACACATCAAACAAGCTTTTGCTGAGTACCCAGGTGAAGTATGCTAAAAAGCTAATGGGCAGCAGTCATTGGGAGGGGGGAGAGTTTGACCCTGGCAAAGCATCTCTCAGAGACAACAGTAGTGGCACCACTCTTGTTAATTGCTGTCAAGTTGACTTTGATTTATGGTGACTGTATGAATAAAAGACTGCTAACTTGCCCTGTTGTCAGTAGCCCTGCTCAGGTTTTGCAAATTCAGAACTGTGGTTTCCTTGTGCAGTCTTCCTCTTTTCCTTCCAAAATTTTAAGGTCCAATGAATTCCTCACTTGACATGCAGACAATTTCACTATCCAATGGAAATGGAAAAAGGCAACAAGGGGATCAGCTATTTTAGATCTGATTCTAACCAACAGTGATAATCAGGTTAATGAGGTGGAAGTGGCAGGATCCTTAGGTGGGAATTACAATATTCTCCTGGAGTTTGTTATATTATGGAAAGGGGAAGCCAAGTATAGTGAGAGACACTCATTCTAGACTTTTAAAAGCTGATTTTAATAAACTTAGGGAAATACCTGGGGTCAGGAATATGAAAAGAGAAGGGAGTTCATAATGGATGAGAGTTTCTTAAAGGTAAAATATTGAACACAATTTCAAACAGTTCCAGTGAGGAGGAGAAATGGGAAATATCTAAAGAAATAGCAATAGCAGCTTCATTTATATATCACTTCATACCATGCTATGCAGTCTTTAAGTGGTTTATAACTGTAAGCTAATTGCCCTCAACAAGCTGGGTACTCATTTTAGTGACCTTGGAAAGATGCAAGCCTGAGTTGATCCTGAGCCCTGGCTGGTATTGAACTCGTAACCTTGTGGCTGCAGTACAGACATTTAACCACCGCGCCACCAAGATGGATGTTGTCATGTCCTGCATGGACAAAGACTCGGAGGACAAGGAGGACAAGTCAGAACTTCCTCTGGGTCCTAAGTCTGCAGCGGAGGAGCTCCAGCTCATCCCTAGCAGCTCTGCTTTTCTAGCAGAGCCTCCAGCAGAGCCTGTGGCTTCTTAAGAGGCTCTGCAGCCAAGCCTTTTGATGATAGAGCTGTCAGACACAGAGGAGGATCAGGGGACTGTGCCTACCTTCAGTCACCATAGAGCCGAAAGGGCAGGACTCTGGCACTTGAGGAAGCTTTATGAAAAACATTGAGGTCATCAAGATGATCAGCCTCAGTTGAACTCTGGCAGCTCAGGCATTTAAGCAAGTGGGGAAGCATTGTCTTGGTGCCAGAGGATATCTGAGCTTCCTGGTGAAAGCCTCTGTCCCTAGCTCTTCTTGTTCCTTGCCTTGAACCCTTGACTGTGAACTATCCTGGACTCCCGGTATCCTTGACCTTTGCACTGCTGACGAATCTCGGACTTCTACATCTCTGGACCTCAGACTGCCTTGTCTCCCAGCTCCTCTGAAACCCTTGACTTATGAACTGTGTTTCACTGGCTGCCCCTTCAGATTGGTAATTAGGACTTTGTTTGGGACTTTTCCTTGCCTTGGCTATCAGCTCATTCAACAGCTCTCCAGGACAGATGTCTAAAGAACTTTGAACTGAGATAAGATTTAAAAGGAACATGTACAGGAAGTGGAAAAAGGAGGGAAATCACCAAAGAGGAATTCAAACAAATAGCATGTGTAGGGAGAAGGTAAGAAAATCTAAAGCACAGAACAAGCTCAGGCATGCTAGAGAAGTTTGTAACACTCTTAGCAAAAAACATTCCTGCCACCAAATGATGGCAACCCATTATTTTTGAGAAGTCCATCTTTATGAAATCACAAACCATGGCCCAAGACAGGGGTAGGCAACCTTTCCCCTTTAAGGGCCGAGGGACTTCAGCTCCCAGAATCCCAGGAGCTATTGGCCAACATGGGACTATTGACCAATATGACTGAGGCTTCTGGGAGCTGAAGTCCTTTGGCCCTTAAAGGGGAAAGGTTGCCTACCCCTGGCCCAAGAAGTCAAATTGTTCCTGCTGGCACTATCTGTGGAGCTAGTTGTTCACCTCCTCTATTACTGTTTCCCTTTCTGCATTATGTCCTTCAAATGGGAGTAAATAGAAAATGACATCCTGTACATCAAGATCCTTTAGCTTTCTACACAGATCCTTGTGATATCTCGAAAGCTATGCCTTGCACTGTCATTGGATACCATGTGGACCAACAGGAATGAGTAACATTATTGTCAGCCTCTCTGTTACATCACAGACTTTTGCCCCAAGGAAACAGCACACTAAACCACTACTTCTGTCCCCCTTAGTCAAGAGCCTCCTTCCACCACTACACATCTCATCTGAGGATTGGCAGAGGCCATTCCATGTTACTCTTCCAAGGTAGCTTGCATGTCCTTCAAGGACTGACACTGTTGACCTTGTTCCTGTTCCTCATCATCACTGATAAGGGAAAGAACTTCAAATGAATTTTATAGAATTCTGTAGCTTCAAACTCACAGAAAGATCCCTGGTCCTTCTACTTTATGTGTCACATTCTTTCAAATGTCTACCTCTTGTGTTTGGGAACTGACCTCCTCCTCAGAGAAATCCCCTGAGTGTTCCTCATCCAGGACAGTCTGCACCATGTTGTCCAAGTAAATCTCATGCTCCATAACATGCTGAAGAGTAGATACACATGTCTTGATTTGACTCATAGATTCATAGG